CGCGCGTGGCGTCACTGTGCTGGGCCCCCCAGCAGGCCTTGAAAGTGGCGACACTTTCACATATCGAATCCCCCCAGGGATGGCGAGGTCTAATTTGGGTCCGCGCGTGGCGTCACTGTGCTGGGCCCCCAGCAGGCCTCGAAAGTGACGACGCTTTCACAGATCGCAGCCCCCCAGGGATGGCGAGGTCTAATTTGGGTCCGCGCGTGGCGTCACTGTGCTGCCAGGGATGGCGAGGTCTAGTTTGAATCCCGCGCGTGGCCCTCACTGTGCTGGGCCCCCCAGCAGGCTTCGAAAATGGCGACAGTTTCACAGATCGCAGCCCCCCAGGGATGGCGAGGTCTAATTTGAATCTGCGCGTCGCCCTCACTGTGCTGGGCCCCCCAGCAGGCCTCAAAAATGGCGACAGTTTCACAGATCGCAGCCGCCCAGGAATGGCGAGGTCTAATTTTAATCTGCGCGTCGCCCTCACTGTGCTGAGCCCCCCAGCAGGCCTCGAAAATGGCGGCAGTTTCACAGATCGCAGCCCCCCCAGGGATGGCGAGGTCTAATTTGAATCTGCGCGTCGCCCTCACTGTGCTGGCCCCCCCAGCAGGCCCCGAAAATGGCGGCAGTTTCACAGATCGCAACCCCCCAGGGATGGCGAGGTCTAGTTTGAATCTGCGCGTCGCCCTCACTTTGCTGGGCCCCCCAGCAGGCCTCGAAAATGGCGACAGTTTCACAGATCGCACCCCCCCGCAGGCAAGACAGGAAGAGGCAGGGAGGGAGGGAGGAGGAGGAAGGAAGGAGTGGAGACCACACTGCTCTATTCAAAAAGAATACCCAACCAAGGAGGGTTGGGAACAAAACATAGCCGAAATCCAGCAAAACAGCGTTTAGGTCCAGCCCTGAAAATTTGGAGGTCGGAAACGTGTGTAGTATAAAGGGGTGCGGTGCCAATGCTGAAAATAGCGATGTTACCTACGATAGCCGCAAGCGCGATGTACCCCGATTTTAACAACGCTGATTTCGCTTCGCCCGCCCCAAACAAAGTCGATATAATAATTCCAATTCCCCAAGCGACCGCCGTCCAATGTGAACGGTGACAAAAATTATCCCGGCGAAGGACCCAACCATAAGCAATTGTTCGTAACGCGTTGTGGGTGCCGCTTTCGGTGGGGTTCCCTATGGGGCCACGAAGCGCTGCCTTGGGTGGGGGGGACGCATGCGAACTGCGCCACTGGGGCGAGCCTTCGGTGGAGCTCCCTATGGGGCCACGAAACGCTGCCCTCGGCGGGGGAACCGCATGCGAGAGCAGCCACTGGGGCCTTCGGTGGAGCTCCCTAAAGGGCCACGAAACGCTGCCCTGGGTGGGGGGACCGCATTAGAACTGCGCCACTGGGGCCTTCGGTGGAGTTCCCCATTGGGGCCGCGAAGCGCTGCCCTGGGTGGGGGAACCGCATGCGAACTGCGCCACTGGGGCCTTCGGTGGAACTCACTATGGGGCCACGAAACGCTGCCCTGGGCACGGTAACCGCATGCGAACTGCGCCACTGGGGCCTTCGGTGGAGCTCCCTGTGGGGCCACGAAACGCTGCCCTGGGTGTGGGAACCGCATGCGAGAGCAGCCACTGGGGCCTTCGGTGGAGCTCCCTATGGGGCCACGAAGCGATGCCCTGGGTGGGGGAACCGCGTGCGAACTGCGCCACTGGGGCCTTCGGTGGAACTCCCTATGGGGCCACGAAGCGTTGCCCTGGGTGGGGGAACCGCATGCGAACACCCCCACTGGGGCCTTCGGTAGAGCTCCCCATGGGCCACGAAATGCTGCCCTGGGCGGGGGAACCGCATGCGAGAGCAGCCACTGGGGCCTTCGGTGGAGCTCCCTATGGGGCCACGAAGCGCTGCCCTGGGAGGGGCAACCCCATGCGAGAGCAGCCCCAATGGGGCCTTGGATGGAGCTCCCTATATGGCCACGAGACGTTGCCCTGGGTGGGGGAACCGCATGCGAACACCCCCACTGGGGCCTTCGGTAGAGCTCCCCATGGGCCACGAAATGCTGCCCTGGGCGGGGGAACCGCATGCGAGAGCAGCCACTGGGGCCTTCGGTGGAGCTCCCTATGGGGCCACGAAGCGCTGCCCTGGGAGGGGCAACCCCATGCGAGAGCAGCCCCAATGGGATGGAGCTCCCTATAGGGCCACGAGACGTTGCCATGGGCGGGGGAACCGCATGCGAACACCCCCACTGGGGCCTTCGGTAGAGCTCCCTATGGGGCCACGGAAAGTGCCCTGGGCGGGGGAACCGCATGCGAGAGCAGCCACTGAGACCTTCGGTGGAGCTCCCTAAGGGGCCACGAAACGCTGCCCTGGGTGTGGGAACCGCATGCGCCCACCCCCCACTGGGGCCTTCGGTAGAGCTCCCTATGGGACCACGAAACGCCGCCCTGGGTGGGGGAACCGCATGCGCCGACCCCCACTGGGGCCTTCGGTGTCAAGAAACGCTGCCCTGGGTGGGGGAACCGCATACGCCCACCCCCACTGGGACCTTCGGTGGAGCTCCCCATGGGGCCACGAAACGCTGCCCTGGGTGTGGGAACCGCATGCGCCCACCCTCACTGGGACCTTCGGTGGGGCTCCCTATGGGGCCACGAAAAGTGCCCTGGGTGTGGGAACCGCATGCGACCCCCCTCACTGGGACCTTCGGTGGAGCTCCCTATGGGGCCACGAAACGCTGCCCTGGGTGTGGGAACCGCATGCGCCCCCCCTCACTGGGACCTTCGGTGGAGCTCCCTATGGGGCCACGAAACGCTGCCCTGGGTGTGGGAACCGCATGCGCCCCTCTCACTGGGACCTTCGGTGGAGCTCCCTATGGGGCTACGAAACGTGTGAAAGGTGTGCCGGGAGCAGAGGCAAGGAGGGGGAGGAGGGAGGAGGGGGAGGAGGGGGAGGAGGGAAGGAAGGAAGGAAGGAAGGACGGAAGGAAGGAGGGACGCGGGGCACCGTCTCTTCAAAACGAAGACCCGACAACACAGGATGGTTTGGAAAAACCCAATACATGACGCCGTATCGCGGGGCACGCGATTCTGGAGATTCCGGAATTCACGGAATTCACTTTTGTGATTCTGAAATTTCCGGAACGTCCTTTCGGAATTTCTGGAATTATGGTTTGCTCTGAAAGAAACTATTCCTAAATTCTGGAATTTCTGGAACTACGTTTTGGGCGATTCGGAAATTCCGGAATGGCGCTTTCCGCGATTCGGAATTTCCGAAATTTCGTGCTTGGTGATCGGGCGTCCGGGAACAGGTGTAGAGGTGCCGTTCACATAACCCTGCGGTCGTATGGGGAAGACGGTCCGCGTCGAGCCAACGTTGTTGAAATGGGGATGCAACGCACGTGCGGTTATCGTAGATAACATCGCCATTTTCAGCATTGGCACCGCACCCATTTTCACCACACCCTTTGCAACCTCCAGAATAAAACAGCTTCATCGCCTAGATTGATCCCGGCCGCGGCCACGCAGCAACACTCCCCAGCCTGCGGCGACCGAGGGAGGTGGGACCAAACTGTTCCGCAACACCACCCTCGAAGAGAGTCGCAGTTGGAGATCCTGACGAGGGCCCAGCCTGTGCGAGACAATGCCCTAGCAACCGACCTGAACAAAAATTGTCATGGAGGAAAGCGTGTCTTGAAGAACAGAGGTCCTCTGGGCCCGCGAACAGCAAATCTGCATCTCGGACCACTCTGCTTGATCGGTCCAGGAACGAAGTCTCTAGTACGAGGTCCTGCGAGCCCGACAGGAAGGCCTCGCAAGATGGCGGGATCAACGAGACATCCACATATTCACACCCAGAATTGTCTCAGGCCGAAAGCTCCCAGATGCTGTGAAAGACCGAGTCCCTCTTCCGACAGCAGAGAGCGCATAACCCGTCAACCTGATATCCCTTAGCTGCGGCGTGAGCCTGAGTCCAGAGGGCGTTGCAAGCTAGCGACCTGATACATCCCTTCTCGAACGCAGTGCAGTCGAGGTTGGTTGGAGAGGACACGCGAGAGGACACAAGACCCTTCCGAGGACCACACTGCCATAGAAATGTGGCAGGCATCAAGCACAGGAAAGACGCAGGACACAATGGTACCCTTGATTTGGCAGGGTCGACCTACCAATCGACCAATCGACCTCGACTGTCGACCGTTTGGACCTCAGAGCAGTCACAAGCAGATCGTCACAAAGGCGGGGGACTAGACAACCTGACGGATGAAGAGGAGGAGGAGCGGAGGGGGAGGAGGAAGAGGAGGAGAAGGAGGAGGAGGAGGCGCAGACAATCCCAAACATCCGGCTGCTCCAGCTTTTCTGATGCGTAGGCCCCAGAGGTCCGGACCGTTTCCCCAGGGCTGGTGTTTCGTCCCAAGTCCTCTTTTGACGCTTCCGAGGCCTGGCGAGGGCCCCCAGAGGCCGAAGACGGCCCCAACCCGCCCGCTCCGATGTTGTTGGAACGTCGGCTCTCCAGGAAGGCGGAGGCCAACCCAGCCCTCCGACCTCATGATTGTTTCATAGCCTCGATCCTCAAAGGTCCCGACCCATTCCCCAGGACTGGTCTCTCATCCCGAGCCGTTTCTTGACGGTCCCGAGGCCCGGCGAGGGCCTCCCCAGGCCGAAAAGACAGTCGGGCCGCTGAAAGAAGCAACGCTATACAAGGAACGGAGCCCCTTTTTGGCCCTGAAAGCGCCTCCGTGCCCGAGGAGGGCAAAGGAGGAACAGCAAAGGAGGAACCTAGGGAACATCGAGCCCCTTCAGAATCCAAATTCTTCCTCATTTCAGCGTCTTGGCTGTACCTTGCCCGAGGGGGTCTGTTGGGCCGGGCGAAAGGGGGGGATAGCAAAGGGGGGGTTTGAGAATCAGCTCACGTAGCTGATTTTCCTGGCGCCTCCCGGCGCCGGGAGGCGCCCATGTATCGAGGAATGCAGATTTCGTAACCCCCCCTTTCCCTGTCCCCCCCTTTCGTTCGGCCCGAGTCTGGGGAGGACGCCTGGACCGTGCCGCGGCCGGGAAGACGGACGCGGCGCACGCCACCGACGCGAGAAGGCCCACGGCGAGCACGGCCAGGCACCCTCCGAGGCCAGGCCGCTGCACCTGCCAGGCTGTGCGGGCAGCGACGTGGCCGGCCGCGGGCGGGGACTGAGGATCGAGGAGCCCACTCCTCGTCCTCGTCCTCGTCCTCGTCCTCGCCCTCGTCCTCGCCCTCCTCCTCCTCCTCC